AAGGAGGAAAGTTAGAATAGAGACATTAGCATCAATTTGATATGATTGTTGGATAATTTGTCTCCATATGTTTATTACCAATTTATGAACATATTCAAATAATTCAGATATAGAAATGGTATTTTGTAATTTATGTAATTTTTCTTTTGTTTAGGTTTTTAAGAAATCTCTGGGTTTTCCCTTCAAGTTGTAAAATATGAGTTAATAGTTCTTTGTTTATAAGTTTGAACTTATTGCTGTCGTTAAGGATGTCAAGCATTTTCTTAACATAGTCAGTTTTGTTGAGAATAACAACTCTGTTTCCTTTGCCTGGTCGGGTTATGATGACATATTTTTACTAAAGATTTGTCTATTAATATATGTAGTCCTTTTTTTTTTTAACTATTCTGTGTGCAAGGTGATTTTGATTTAACCACCAAAAAAAATAAATATTTCTTTCTTGAATGACTACAAATTGTAACATGAAACTACATTATATTGTTTTACTGTCTTTTGACCCCTGTCTAACTACTATTCACACCATTATAAGTTGTAAATTGCTTTCCAAATGTGCAGCTCAAGTTACACTATCAATTACATAGCTTACAAGTTGCTCTTGAGCATACCTTGTGAAAACTTTTTATTTTTTTATTATTATTCATTTTACCTGATCTAACTGTAACTAACTTAGAAAGTTTCCTATTTTTACATTTTAGTTACTTTTGTAGTAACAAATAAAGAATGCACATGAAATAAAGTATTTACCTGGCCTTTCTTTTTTTCTTTGCTGTCAAAACTTTACTTTTTCATACTAATTATAGTACTGCACTTTATTTTTTATTTAACTGAGTAGTGCACCAAAGAAAACAAAAAAAAACCACACAGTGTCTCATAACTATCACAATTTTTCTGGCTTTGTAGCTATGTGACAAGAGCCGTTACAAATTCATCTTATCTAGTTGATATGTTTCCCACAGAAATAAAGCTTGAACCGATAGCAAAACTGGCAATTCTCTATAAAGAAATCAATGTAATATAATACATAATTTGATAGATGAAAACCTTGGGTTTCTATTGGTTATATATAATGTAGTATTGAATGTCAGAGAGAACTATTGGCAGTTTCTGAAAGGTTGGCATGGCAA